ATGTGCTCAGTGAGCCAACATTAACCACTCCCATTACCGTTGGACTCTACGCCAAATGGGGCAGTGGAAAGAGTTTCCTGCTAAATAAGCTGCGCGACGAGATGAACAACTTTGCGCGCCAATGGGCTGAGCCACCGATTCGAACCAGTGGCCTGCTCTTCATCGTCTGCTTTCATGTGGCATTGCTCATTGGAACTATTGTGGGACTGAGCACCTGGTCAGCGGTTGTGGGCGTGTCGGCGGCTGTCGGATTCTTGCTGCTCGCCTATCTGCTTCTGGCAGCTGTTAGGTACTGCAATTACCAGATGGACATGCAGTGGGCCTACTCTGTGCAGCACGGTCTGGAGAAGAGAATGACGAGACTGCGTCTGATACTTCAGGTGGCCTTTTGCCATCCCCCAGGACCCCAATCGGACTCACAGGCAAAACCCGTGCGGTTTCACTTTGCGGAGGCCAACAGCGCTTCACCCACAGGTGATGGAGCTGTAGCTCATATGTTGGCCGCTCTCTTAGATGCTATAGAATCTCACTACGGATGGCTGGCCACGAGATTGTACCGAGCCTTCCGTCCAAAGTGCTTGAAGGTGGATGTTGGCTGGCGTTGGCGTCGCATGTGCTGTATCCCAATCGTTTTGGTCTTCGAACTAGCTCTAATCACCCTGGTTACTGGCATCTCCCTCATCGTGGCCTACTTCACGTTTGCCGATGAGAAGGAAAAGGAACGGATATTGGTGGCTCTTTATGTAATTGCAGCCGTGATGGGCACGCTGATCTGTACGCATCTCCATGTCCTGGCCAAGGTGTTTGTATCCCTGTTCACCTCCCACATCCGACTGCTGAAAAGGGCTGTTCGGTCCAGTGAATCGGCTCCGTTGACTATGCTAGGTGCCGAGGTGGCCGTCATGACGGACATGGTCAAGTGCCTGGATGCGTTCACCAATCAGCAGAGTCGCTTAGTTGGCGTGATCGATGCCTTGGATTCCTGTGACACCGAGAGAATTCTCACTCTTCTGAATGCTGTGCAAACACTTCTTTCTTCACCTAACCGACCATTTGTTTTGCTCATTTCTGTGGATCCACACGTCATAGCCAAAGCAGCAGAGGCTAATAGCCGACGACTCTTTACGGAGGGCGGAATCGGAGGACATGACTTCCTGAGAAACTTGGTGCATTTGCCGGTTTATCTGCAAAACTCCGGACTGAGAAAGGTGCAACGAGCCCAGATGACAGCACTACTGTTTAAGCGAAGTGGCGGAGGAGATTACCAGACAGACGATGGACCCACATTGGGTCACTCTGTGTCTGCTCGTCGACTGTCCAATGCCTCTGAGATTATTTCCAGTCAGGAGAAGCTGCGCGGACCCGCCCGAGGAGGTGGTGGAAAGAAGCTGCGTCTCTCCGAATCCGTGGCCAGCTCTACTGGCTCTAATCTTCACCGCCTGGGTCAGAATCCCCAGACCGTCCTAGATCTATCTCGCATTGTACTCACGGATGATTACTTCAGCGATGTGAATCCACGAAGTATGCGCCGCCTGATGAACGTCATCTACATCACGGTGCGTTTGCTCAAGGCCTTCCAGATCGACTTCAGCTGGTATCGCCTTAGTTCCTGGATCAATCTGACTGAGCAGTGGCCTTTGAGAGCTAGTATGATAGTGCTGCATCACGATCAGTTCATGGATGGCAATGCGGATGAGAGTGTCTCGCTGCAAAGCGTTTACGAGAAGTGAGTTTAACACCCTAATCCTCATATAATCTTGAAAGAATCTATTATATCTGCTTCATTCGTTTAGATTGCGACCGAAACTCGCTTACTTGCGAGAAGCTGCTCCACTCCTAGAGTTGGATCGAGATGAACGAAAGCTCGATGCCTTCCTGCAGCTGCACAAATCAGATTTACTCGTGGCGGATCTGCGAATCTTCTTGCCCTTCACAATTAATCTGGATCCTTACTTAAGAAAGGTCTTGAAGGGTGCGTTTAAAAAAACAAAATAAAACTCGGGCGCAATCTAAAAAGTATTCATTTCACAGAGGATCAACAAACCATCGAGGACGAGGGTTCCCTAGTGATACAAGCCAGACCCAGCGTTTCCAATACCATGCGTCAATTCCCAGCGCCCACCACCTACGTGCCTTCGCCACAGGCCTATCCACCCTACCAAATGTTCCAGAACGAGTATCCTGCCAATGAGCTGCGCTCCAGGAATCTCAGCTCGAGCACAGAGCCTGTCACCCCACTTATTAACTCACCTAGTGATTCGTTTGGTGTAAGTTATATTATCTTAAATTTAGGAAATCTTAAATTAGGAAATGCTTGCTTTTCATTTGCTACAGGATGATATCCTGCAAACCAAACTGACCGATTTGACCGTCGAGGGAGTAATCAGCCTGCTGGACCGGATTGAGGACATGAAACCAGCGTTGCCCAAACTAGCCCCTGTGCTCCGCGAGAATGCCATCAATGGACGTGTGCTGAAGCATTGCGATATGCCGGATCTGAAATCGGTAAAGTGTTTTACTATCATTTTCAAGTTTTTCCGTATTAAACGACGAGTTCCGAACAGGTTCTGGGCCTGAGCTTTGGCCACTGGGAGCTGTTCCGCTTGCTGATCACCACGTTGCGGGAATGCGAGCGATTGCCACGGAAGCAGCCGCGCCAGCAACAGCAACCGCCTGCGTTAGAGGCGCCATCGAATGTCCCCATGATTAAGGATGTGACGGATGCCCTGATGCAGCCACCCAGGGAGTCCCTCTCACGGAAGAACTCCGTCAGTCATATGGAGAAGCAGGTAAAGCGAGCCATCAAAAGTCTATGAATTGTAGAATCGGATAGCTGTATATTGAAAAAAGGATTCGCTCTAACTCATGTGCTTTGATCTATTCTTATTCCGACCATTTTAACAATCCGAAACGAAATGCAGTCAAAAGTGCATGACTACGAGTATCTGCAGGTAAAGCTCAGACACTAAGAGACACAGACTGAAACCCGAAATTCCAAGCCCACATACCATATTTGTGCAACCCCATTACAGATCAATATCAAATACCCCAGTAAGCCCTTCAACTTATCTGTCGTATCTATTGCTAGGTCACGCTGGAGGAGCAGATGATCTGCGGCACCCTTCAGACTCTGAATGAGGAGGCGTACGAGGATGTGGCCAGTAGCGAGAGACCGAGTCCCACAGGTGAGATGTTGGCGGCAGCCGCACAACTGCAATTAGCACCCATCCGCGAGTCCTCTGAGTTCGGATCGCCATCCGACGATCAGAAGCAGTACGGGGTCAAGATAAGCAACAACAACAACAACCAATACTTGCATGCGGAGTACAACCGGAGCGTTAGCTCACATTCCCTGCAGAGTCTAAGCACTCTGGTGGGTTCACCTGGTCATGGTGGTTCAGGTGGTGGTCACCTGCATCTGGGCAACGGTAACGATCTGAGCGATAGCACGCTCGACCTAATGCATGTTGATTCGGTGTTTGGTGGTGGTGGTGGTTATCATCGGGCATCACGCCAGATCTCCATAAGCAGCGAGCTGCTGCACGAGTCCAGTTCCTTGCCCATGGTGGTGGTCATTCCCAATGCCTCCGGCGAACAGGCCTATGACGACACCAAGCTCTAATTGGCCAGGGGCTCACATATGCACTTGGACAACAATGTATTTAAGCTGCATGGGGTTGAGTCGTACTTAAATTTTAAAGTCTGACAAACTGAACCATTTGGATGGCTGGACCAATGTCTGAGCCAAATGAAACCGGACCAAAAACCAATATCATATCATCCGAAACACGATTTTTCGTATTACTTGTTTTATTCTTGCTTTGGCTTGGCTTTGATCCGGGCAGTATTATCGGCAATTACTAACACTTGAGTTGTGCGATTACTAAATCATTCCAATGTTTATATGCCGAAGATTAGTTATTAATTATTTGCCACACATCCCACACACACACAATATATATTTAAAATTGTTAATCGCCCACGACACATGTACAACTAACCGAATGGTGGTATTTAAACCAGATTCCATTAAATCCTATGTCTATCCCTAGCGTTAGATAAAGCATCAAATAAATGATAAATCTTATGAACAACTCGTTACCTCTTGCATTTTATTGAGCTTTCTATCTGTGTTTATGTTACGCCTTTAACCTTTGTTCTGAGTTAATTGGTTGCTTTAATTCACCTGGTTAATATTAGTGTTGCGGAATAGCACCAACCCTTGCAATGGGTAATCCCTAACTTAATCTTCCTCATCCCTATGATTTTTAGAACTCGACACGCCGAGTGCCGGAGCAGCAATGACGACCCCATTGCTCGGTGCCTCCGGCTCTGTGCCACCTCCATCAGGTCGGGATTCTATTTTAAAACAGCAGGGAAGCGTCAAAGCCGACAAGAGAGTATCGATTCAACAAACGGCGACCAACAATAACAACAACAGTACCAAGCTAACGCCAAATGTGGAGTATGTTTCCGAACGCCAGCCGGAAGTCCAAGGGGCCAGCAAGCGCTTGACAAGCAAGCCGCCTCCAGGTAATGTTCACAATGTTTAAAGCCAAAACCATACTCAATAGTAAGTTTATTCTTCATAGGACCTCGTCCCGCCTCGCTGATCATTACCAGAAACGATTCCAACTCACAGTTCCAACTGCTGCGCTCCTCCTCAGTGGATTACGACGATGTGGAGGCCCAGGAGCACCGGACCACGATAAGGACCACTTTGCTGGAACAGCAGGAGGAAGAGGAATCAGCCCCGTTCGTGTTTACAGTGCGAAAATGACACAATCTTCTCTACTAGGTGAAAACAGCCAATGAGATGGCCATTTAGTGCCAGCTACGCTTAGTTACAAATTAGTTATAACGCAATTAGCTAATAACTGGAGGACTTTGTGGAAACTCTGACTTTTGGGTTACACAATTATATAGTTGTATAGTCGGTACGCTAAGAAAAGACACTTTGTTTGCAAGTCTTGGTTCTAAGCCACAGAAAACACTACTACTTGTTATAAATGTATAATGCGTGTGCATATATGTATTTCTTGAATGTATAAAGCAAATATTAGTGAGTATGGAATACTCAGGGCTGACTGCCCTTTATTATTGCCAGAGCAGGTCTCAATGCATTGTAGAGCTTGGCGGCCAAGGTGGCATTAGGCAGGGTTTTATAGATTTCCTGTATGGCTAACATAACGTTCGACTGTTGCTGAGTCAAATCCAATGGATTGAAGTTGGGGTTCTGCCAAAAGGCCCCATTAGGCTGGCTCTCTAAACGAACTTGAGTGCCAGCATCGTGGGTATCAGTCCTGCCCTTTGTTTGCGTAGCTGCATTCTTGAACAGCGTGGCCGTTTCATTTTCATTTGTCGGCGCCAAGCCCTGCTCAAGTTGCTCCTTTTTCAGCTTCAGGATGCGCTGCGAAGGCTTAACTTTGCTCTGGAGCTCCTTAAGGCGCGCCACATCGATGCCCAGTAGACGCAAAAGCCTCTTAGTCGCCTGAGGCACTGCTTCCAAGCCCCATTTAGCCAAATCGATTCTGGTTCCGGGCGTGGAATTGAACTTGTAAACCACATTCATGTTATTGCAAATTGGCGAAGGATTCTCGAAGCAATCCTGGTTCCTAAACGACTCATTAACAGGAAGCTTGCAGATGGTGTCCACCATGTGGAATTCGGGCGGCTCCTCTTTGTTGGCCATCTGCTGGATCTGTTCCAGCACCAACTCCGCCCGTGCGACGGCCAGACCACGCTTGTCCGCTTTGGACAGATTCACAGTGTTAGGTTCAACCTGCGGTGGCTGGTGCTCTATGAGGTTGGAGAAGTTAACTAGTCGGATGTACTGCTCATCAGCCCGCACTGGAACGTAATCTAATTCTGCATCCCGAATTTTTTTTTCCGGCGGGCCATCGGTCTGCGAACTGCCACTGCTATTTCGTTTCTTATATGTCTTATGGCTCCGATGATCACCATCATTCCGGTTCCTCTCATCTGTGTTCTCGTCCTGCGAAGTGGCACTGCGATTTCGCTTTCTGGACTCCTCACGATCTCGGTTTGAGCGATGGGACCGATCCTTCTTGTGTTTCTTTTTCTTATTTTTTACCTTTCTGTTTTCATCTGCCATCTCCAATTTCCTTAGAATCTCTCGTTTCTGAGCAATGAGATCGGCTGCCTCCAGATCTTCTACGAGCGTACCATTTGCCTGGAAGCCATGTTGTTCGTCTGGTACAAGCGTTTTGGCGTCCTCAAGACTGAACAAATTCATGTCTTCAAAGTTATTGCGATTCGAAAATTGGCTGGGAAGTAAATCGCAATTTCGACTTTCGACCTTTACTTCGGCAGATGTCTCCAAGGTTGCCCGGGGACCAATATCAAATGGGTCATCCACCAAGCTGTCCAAAATCGCATTATCAGCATCTATTTTGAACTTCAGCTCGGTCCTCGGGTCGATGGCGTCTAGGGCCGACTGTAGATGTGCGCCTGGAGTCGCCGAGTGGTGGACAAGGCCACCATCCTCTGGATCACTGTTCCAGCCTGATCCGGACATAGGAATTCCAACAGCAAATGCATGCGGCGGAGTCCCGCCTGTAGTCTCCCGCAGCGGAGTGGCCTCATCCTCGTTAATGCCACAACCCACATCGTTCTCCAGTTTGACCTCTAGCTTGATTGGAACGTCCATGACATCGAAATTTGTTTGCCAGTAATCACTTCCACAAATGAAATAAGACACCTTTGAATTTTTCCACCAAAAGTTATCTGATATTGCAGTTCTAGAGATGGTAAATGAAAATATTTTTAGTAAGTGTATTTCCGTAGGTCCTATTCCATTCTTGGTTTTCCATGGCAATTTTTATTTTACAGAAATTGAAAATTAAATAATTAGTCCTTGTTTTTGTAAGTGCTATCCCTATTTTCACGACCCTGGAGTTGCCATCCCACTTTTTACAACGGCTCATTCGATACAGTCGATGCACCTGTTGATTTATCGATAGCACCGTAAAGAAAACTCACCACGCTGTTATCGACTCGCTAATTTGAGCAAAGTTTTGTCAATTAAATGTTCTATTGCAAGATGTGCGGTGGATGTGTTGATTAAGTCATGTGAAAGCAATTTTTTTTTTTTGTTTACAAGCTTTATAGCCTAGTTGTTGTTGGTGGCTGTTTTTCAGCGCCTAACCAGCTGATGACCACAAAAACTTCAAAGGTCACCTTGAGCTTAATAGAATCAAAAGCAATTGCTTAAGAATTTTGGCTGGTAAAGTAAAGTTCAATATCGCAGCCGCATCATAGCCCAAAAAGTACGAAAAACCATTTAAAAATCCAGTGATAAAATAAAAATAATCAAATAATTTGCATACCCATGAAAATAAACAATTTTCGCCGAGCGTGAATGTGAATGAAAGTGGGCAGATAAGTTCTAGAGCAGATAAAAAAACACCACAGATTACTCACTCACATGAAGCACTTTTGTTGTGTTCTAAAATCGGGACTCCTAAAAAACGATCTATAAATAAACACTCATAGGCCATCTACCGGCAGCCAAGTGCAATTCATTGACCCACATATTCGAGGGTGTGTATGTGTGTGCGTGCGTGTGTGTTTGTCTGTGAACTTGGTGTGTGCAAAATTATTTTTATTCCCGACCTGCCAGTGAAATTTCAATGTTGATAAGGTTCGCTAATCGTGAGGATCCATATTCTCACGTAGGCGCCACATGTCAATAGTAATGCATCTGAGCATAAGAGGACTTAGTGCCTTATTACCCCCTTCCCAACGCGATAAAGAAGTAAATAACCCCCGCTAGCCGACGCCCCTGTGTGCAAATGTGAGAGCGATTATCGCGATTGAAAAGTACATACAAAAGTATTCGTTTAATGCTCCATTTGAGATTGCGGCGTCTGAAAATTCCTGGCATTTCGTAGACCGTAGATTTTGCAGCAGTTGCAGTCATGCTGAGCGAGGGAATCCACTGGCTCTGGAGAAGCCTGCTCCAGATCCTGATGCGCTATCAGCTCTTCCAATGGCTCTACGGCCTAACAGCGGCTGTTGATAACGAACCGCTACCGATACAAATCAAAAGCGACGAGGAAGCGTTAGGGGAAAAGAAGAAGAAGCTGGCGAATCTGGAGAATGCCATCTCGCCCGGAAAATCGGAATCAGTCGCGATTAGAACCGTTCCAAGTGCAAATGCAAATGCTAATGCAATGGGCAATGCAGGCAGTGCTGAGATCGTATCAAATCAAATCATCCGCCGCCGTGAGGTATTATCATCGCCCAGTGATCGGAGTCCCAGTGTTGTGTCCATATTCCATAACTATATGTTCCAGTGTTCCGTATGCGTGTGTGTGTATGTGTGAGTGTGCCGGCAATGAATATAAAACATGCCCTCCATCCGGCAATGCTTCAGTCAATTCCGATCCGGGTTACTAGGAGCTGACACCCAGCGGACAATCCTCGAAAATTCTACTCGGACTGTGGTGGTGTTTTAACAAGATGCCTTTGGCTGTGCGTTTCCCGATCGCAAAATACCTGAAAAGAAACTTCTGTAGCTCGAACCACAGGAAAGAACAAAATTCAAGTGGATATCCCCTTGGTGAACAAATTACTACAAATTATACTTCAAAGCCAATCCAATCTACCGATGTCTTTGGCTCACAATTGCAAAACGAAAGCTCTATATAAGATCTTGCTCGATTAGTTAATGCATAGCCGATCCTTACTTAACAATATTTCTTTGTCGTGCAATCCTAAAAATAGAACTGATTGCACATACATATATACATACGTATGTGTAATTTTAATCCTAATCTCTATTGGCGCTAGTGGTTCGACCTTAAGAGACATAAAGTTATAGACATTCGACTATACATTCCATGCAAAAAACCCATGTTCATGTGTAACAACTAGTAGTGACGATTGTGTAATGCTCTCATGGCTATCCTCTCGGATTTTCTTAGATGAGCACCATGGGCAAGGAGACGGAGTCGCACAGCATACCCATCAGCGAGGGTCAGGATGCGGAGCATATTCTGTACCGTCTCAAGCGGGGTTCCAAGCTGAGTGTTCACCCGGATGCCTCGCTGCTGGGCAGGAAGATCGTTTTGTACACCAACTATCCCGCTGAGGGACAGAAGTTTGTGCGAACGGAGTATCGGGTTCTGGGATGGCAGCTCAGCAATGGCAAGCAGATTACTTCTGTAATGCATCCGGAGGCCCATGTGGTGGATACTGACATTCGTAGTCAGGTGGAGTTGAACATGTCCGGCACCTACCACTTTTACTTCCGGTATCTGGAAAGGTTTGATAAAACTATACTTTTCCGTATTGATTTTGCTTTTGCATTAATATCTCAACATTTTCAGACCCGACACTGGCTGCTCCGGAGCAGATGGAGCCCTGTACGTGCAAGTGGAGCCGACGCTGCATGTTGGTCCGCCAGGCGCACAGAAGACCATTCCCCTGGACTCGGTGCGCTGCCAAACGGTGCTGGCCAAGCTCCTGGGGCCACTGGACACTTGGGAGCCTAAGCTGCGCGTGGCGAAGGAGGCCGGCTACAATGTGATCCACTTCACTCCTATCCAGGAGCTGGGTGTCTCCCGATCCTGCTATTCGCTGCGCGACCAACTCAAGGTCAACTCCCATTTTGCACCCCAAAAGGGAGGTAAGATCAGTTTTGAGGATGTGGAAAAGGTCATCAAGAAGTGCCGCCAGGAGTGGGGAGTAAGACAGTAAATTCTAGCATAAACAGAACTATTTTACAACTCTTCCCTATCAGGTGGCCTCCATCTGTGACATAGTGCTCAATCACACCGCCAACGAGTCCGATTGGCTACTACAGCACCCGGATGCCACCTACTCATGCGCCACTTGTCCCTACCTTCGCCCCGCCTTTCTGCTGGACGCCACATTCGCCCAGTGCGGAGCGGACATAGCCGAGGGCAGTCTGGAGCACGTAGGCGTACCTGCGGTCATCGAGCAGGAGTGCCATTTGGAAGCGTTAAAGTACCAGTTGCACACCTCCTACATGTCCAAGGTCAATATACACGAGCTGTATCAGTGCGATGTGATGAAGTACGTGAACGAGTTCATGACCCAAGTGCGAACTCGCGAGCCACCAAAGAATGTGGCTAACGAGTATCGATTCCAGGAAATCAAACTGATACAGGACCCGCAATATCGACGCTTGGCCAGCACCATTAATTTTGAGCTGGCGCTGGAAATCTTTAATGCTTTCCATGGCGACTGCTTCGATGAGGAGTCACGCTTCCGCAAGTGCGCCGAAACCCTCCGCCGACATCTCGATGCCCTCAATGATCGCGTGCGCTGCGAGGTTCAGGGATACATCAACTATGCCATAGACAATGTCTTAGCCGGAGTTCGCTACGAAAGAGTACAGGGCGATGGACCCAGAGTAAAAGAGATCTCCGAGAAGCACGCGGTCTTTATGGTCTACTTTACGCATACAGGCACACAGGGAAAATCGCTCACTGAGATCGAGGCAGACATGTACACCAAGGCTGGAGAGTTCTTCATGGCCCACAATGGTTGGGTTATGGGCTACAGCGATCCTCTGAGGGACTTCGCTGAGGAGCAACCGGGACGCGCCAATGTCTACCTCAAGCGCGAGCTCATCTCGTGGGGCGACAGTGTGAAGTTGCGCTTCGGCAGGCGACCGGAGGACAGTCCTTACCTGTGGAAACACATGACCGAGTACGTTCAGACCACAGCGCGCATCTTCGACGGTGTGCGTTTGGACAACTGCCACTCTACGCCATTGCACGTAGCCGAGTACCTTCTGGATGCAGCACGGAAGATTAACCCAGAGCTGTATGTGGTGGCGGAACTGTTCACCAATTCCGATTACACCGACAATGTGTTTGTGAACCGATTGGGTATCACCTCTTTGATCCGAGAAGCTCTTTCCGCTTGGGACTCCCACGAGCAAGGCCGCTTAGTCTATCGGTATGGAGGAGTGCCGGTGGGTGGTTTCCATGCGAACTCATCGCGCCACGAGGCCACCAGTGTGGCACATGCCCTCTTCCTGGATCTCACCCACGATAACCCGTCTCCGGTGGAGAAGCGTTCCGTATACGATCTGCTACCATCGGCAGGACTAGTCTCCATGGCCTGCTGTGCCACAGGAAGTAACCGTGGGTACGACGAACTGGTTCCCCATCATGTAAGATTTTATTTGTTTATGATTGATTATTGAATGTAACTGAGTCTTTTCCCCCAGATCCATGTCGTAGACGAAGAACGCACCTACCAAGAATGGGGCAAGGGAGTTGACTCGAAATCGGGAATTATGGGCGCAAAAAGAGCACTGAATTTGCTGCATGGACAGCTAGCAGAGGAGGGATTTAGCCAAGTGTACGTAGACCAGATGGATCCCAATGTAGTTGCAGTTACTCGTCATTCGCCGACCACTCATCAGTCAGTTATTCTGGTGGCCCACACTGCCTTTGGCTATCCCTCTCCTAATGCCGGGCCCACCGGTATCCGGCCGTTGCGTTTTGAGGGCGTCCTGGACGAGATCATCCTGGAGGCCAGTTTGACCATGCAGAGTGACAAGCCATTCGATCGACCTGCTCCGTTCGATAAGGATCCGAATGTAATCAACGGCTTTACTCAGTTCCAGTTGAGTCTGCAGGAGCACATTCCTCTGGCTAAGTCGACGGTTTTCCAGACCCAGGCTTATTTGGATGGCAACAACACGGAGCTACACTTTGTCAACTTACGGCCCGGCACTGTGGTGGCTATCAGGGTATCCATGCATCCTGGTCCTCGCACCAGTTTCGATAAGCTCCAGAAGATCTCGAATGCCCTGCGTATTGGTTCAGGCGAGGAGTATTCACAGCTGCAGGCAATCGTCTCCAAGTTCGATCTGGTGGCACTTAGTGGTGCCCTCTTCAGCTGCGATGATGAGGAGAGGGATCTGGGCAAAGGTGGCACTGCCTACGACATTCCCAACTTTGGAAAGATCGTTTACTGCGGACTGCAAGGTTTTATTTCCCTGCTGACGGAGATTTCACCCAAAAATGACTTGGGTCATCCGTTTTGTAACAATCTGCGCGATGGAAACTGGATGATGGGTAAGTTTTTTAATATGAAGATTTGAATAAATAACTATTCAATATAATTCCTTCCAGATTACATAGCTGATCGTCTCACTAGTTACGAAGACTTGAAGCCACTCTCCGCCTGGTTTAAAGCAACCTTTGAGCCACTAAAGAATATTCCACGCTACCTCATACCCTGCTACTTTGATGCCATCGTCAGTGGGGTTTACAATGTGCTCATCAACCAGGTCAACGAACTAATGCCAGAGTATGTCCATTACCAGATTGCATTCGTGGACTCCTCATTTAGTCTTTACTTCCCATAGCTTCATTAAGAATGGCCACAGTTTCCCGCAGTCCCTGGCCTTGTCCACGTTGCAGTTCCTTTCCGTTTGCAGGTCGGCCAATTTGCCGGGATTCAGTCCTGCTCTAAATCCACCTAAGCCGCCAATGCAATGTGTGACTCTTTCTGCTGGTCTGCCGCATTTCTCAACGGGTGAGCTTATATATTTCATTGAAAAATGGAAAAGGAAGGGTTGAGCTACTCGAATATATGTACTTGCATTTATGTATTTTTATTCATAGGTTACATGCGGTGCTGGGGCCGTGATACCTTCATCGCTCTACGTGGCTCCATGTTCCTAACCGGCCGTTACAACGAAGCCCGTTTCATTATTCTTGGATTTGGACAGACCCTTCGACACGGACTCATTCCGAATCTTTTGGACAGCGGCAGCAAGCCGAGATTTAACTGCCGCGATGCCATCTGGTGGTGGATGTACTGCATCAAGCAATATGTGGAGGATGCGCCCAAGGGTGCCGAAATTCTGAAGGACAAGGTGTCCCGCATCTTCCCGTACGACGATGCGGATGCCCATGCCCCAGGAGCCTTCGACCAGCTACTCTTCGACGTGATGCAGGAAGCACTGCAGGTGCATTTTCAGGGGTTGCAGTATAGGGAGCGCAATGCAGGCTATGAGATCGATGCGCACATGGTGGACCAGGGCTTTAACAATCAGATCGGAGTTCACCCGGAGACAGGCTTTGTGTTTGGAGGCAATAACTTCAACTGCGGTACTTGGATGGACAAAATGGGATCTTCGCAAAAGGCCGGAAACAAGGGACGACCAAGTACGCCGCGTGATGGATCCGCCGTGGAGCTCGTTGGCCTGCAGTATGCCGTACTCCGGTTTATGCAAAGCCTAGCCGAAAAGGAGGTTATCCCGTACACCGGCGTGGAACGAAAGGGACCATCGGGCGAGGTGACCAAGTGGAGCTACAAGGAGTGGGCGGATCGCATCCAGAACAACTTTGACAAGTATTTCTTTGTGTCCGAGTCAGAAACTTGCTCGGTGGCCAACAAGAAGCTTATCTACAAGGACAGCTACGGAGCCACCCAGAGTTGGACGGACTACCAGCTGCGATGCAACTTCCCCATCACCTTGACCGTGGCCCCCGACCTGTGCAATCCTCAGAATGCCTGGCGTGCACTGGAGCGCGCCAAAAAGTTTCTTCTAGGACCGCTGGGCATGAAAACGCTGGATCCCGAGGACTGGAACTATAGGGCAAACTATGACAACTCTAATGACTCCACGGATTGCACTGTGGCCCATGGAGCTAACTACCACCAGGGACCGGAGTGGGTATGGCCCATCGGTTTTTACCTGCGGGCTCGCCTGATCTTCGCCAAAAAGTGTGGCCATCTGGACGAGACCATTGCCGAAACTTGGGCCATACTGCGAGCCCATCTCCGAGAGCTGCAGACATCCCATTGGCGCGGGTTGCCCGAGTTGACCAACGATAATGGCTCCTACTGCGGTGACTCCTGTCGCACGCAGGCTTGGAGTGTTGCTGCCATTTTGGAGGTCCTATACGATCTGCACTCCTTGGGAGCAGATGTGGCCTAAACCACCGTAAATACTCATATTCAAACCTGTTAGTTGCTACCAAAATCTGTTATTAGTGTTACATTTGATAATTGTACGGATACAAAATGGAATGAGATTTGATGCCTGAGGTCCCTTGAAATTTTGCTATTTCTATTCTATTAAAGTTGCAATTGTTTTTAAGCGTTGTTTTTAGTCTAAGAGAAGTAGCTATCACGGCACACACGCATGCAGGAGCACTGGGGAGGATCGATGGAGCCAAAGTTTTTTCGAGGCATATCCCGTCCCGTATATTTGGGAATGGTTGCAGCCTCGGGAAGCCGGGCTGTTTTCAATGGTAAGACCACTTCCGGGGAAATAGGCTTTAGAGGAGGCATAGGCTTTCCATGCTTTGGTTTCGATTTATCATCCTCTATTTTCAGCTAAAAAATAAATTAACCTATGCGATATAAACATTCGTACAACTACTCACTTTGCCACACTTTCTCAAGGCTAAAATGGCTGCTTCGCATGTTAGATCGTAAGCTTTCTGCAACACAACTTGTTGGATAACATCAAGGACCAGAGACATTTTGATGGGATTACAAAAAACCAGGGCTATTGCTTAACATATAATTTTGCCAGCGACTACACGAGAAATTTGACACAATACTCCCAAGTCATATGAACTGTATATAATTTGTATATATTTCTAGTCTCCGCTTTCTTATAAACTAAATAAATACGTGTAAAGATTATATACATAAAGCTTTGCATAGTTGTAGACAATCCACATTACGTCTGCAGCGGAGTTTTGGTTCCATTTGGACTCGCTTGGTAGGATTCGTTTTCAGTAACTATCTCGACGTCATCATCTTTGATGGATTTGAGATCGCGGCCAATACTTTCCATGTTCAAGCTCAAGGCAGCTGCAGCCACATTATTATTTACTTCATCCAGCTTGGGCTGGCGTAGGCAGTTCTCGTCATTAGAGGCTTCACGTTTAACCCTTGCCGGTGGCTGCTCTGTCGCATCCCCCGGACTTCGCAGGTTGAGCAGCTCCCGCCGGATGGCTTCTACATTGTCTTCAAGGTTGGGTTTCTTAATCTCCGAGTCATTTAAAGCTTTTGGCTGAGTAGCATTCACCATTAGGGCCAGTGGAATGGGCAATCGTTTGATCAGCACTTCTTTATCTATACTCGAATTCCTAAGTAACTCTCCGGTTTTATAGGAGAGTGGTTCAAAAACGCCGGCATGGGCCTCTTTCTCATCGCGCAAATGAGTATTTTCCGTGAGTATGTCCATTAATGATGCCTGCCGCTTTCTCTCCTGGTTTTCCTCAGCATCTGGCTGCGACTCCTTGAGCACAATTTCAGCCTTCTTCGGTTCCTCGGCAGATTTAGCAACTGCATCCAAAGGCTCATCTTTCTGTAACTCCAAAGGTTGCTGGTTAAGTGAATTTTTTTTTGCCAACTCTTCATTTAGCTCGCCAACGGTTTTTGCCAATAATTGTTTGGTCTCTTTTAATTCCTTTTGGGTTTTCAGTAGTTCATCTGCATTAGCATTAGCCTTACTTTCCTTTTGCTCCTCGGCAGCCACTTCCTCCTCCTTCTTGATGGCCGCTCCATCAATTGTATTGCTTGCTGATAACAGACTTGATCCTATTTTTGAATCATCAGGTAACGATGCAACAACAGCATGTGGATTCTCCTTGGGCTTTTCCACGGTAAGGTTGACATCGAGTGGTTTGTCCTCTGGTGGGTTTACTTCTACTGCTTCTACTGGTAGTTTTTTAGGATCCGTTTCAGAGTTTTTACTATCTATGGGCACTACGTGGACTTCATCGATGGGCAGTGGTGGCAACGGTGGGTTGTCGGAGGAAGCGGTTTGCACTACCTTTGGCATATCAACAATTTTATCCTCTAGGGTTTCCTTTATTTTTTCTGGAAATTTGACATCCAGTTTCTTTAACAATAGGTTTTTCTCGCTTTCTATAGAATCTTTGGCCAAATGTTTTGGTAGCTCGCCGACGGCAGCGGGCACTTGAACATCGGGATATGGGGGGGTGCCCATGGCAACCATATCAAACTCCGGGCCCGAGTTCTTTTCATCAATTGCACTTAGGTTTGCATATGTTCCTAGGATCATCAAGAGAAATCCACTTACAAATACAAACTGGGCAAGTCGGCGTTCCATTGATTCCTTTTTTATGATCTTTCGAAAACTGGATGCAGGAAACATTATGCAAATGGCTACGCCAATAGTGGAGCCTACCAATCCAATTATCAGCTCCACGGAGGGAATAACCAAAGCCACACATAACGAAAAGATAACGATGAAGATAGTGATGAATCGAAAACGTTGTTCAGGTATGTAACTACTGCTTTCCGTGTGACCCTATACAAAATAGATTTTTAGTGTCTACTCCTCCTGATAAAACATACAAAAATACCTTTCTGTACAGCAGCGAATAGAGACTGGCTCTGCAGGGAAAGATTACCAATGGGAAACTAAATGCAATCGACAGCACAAACCCAATTTTAATGATATCGCTACCAAAGGAGGTCGATAAATTCACCAGAATGTTGCCTATAAATACAAAGTCAAATATGTATGTAAATCAGAAAACTCCTCAAGGTTGTTGGCTTACCCGAAAAGGTGTGCGTACAAAACGCCACATATCCGAAAAAACCAACAGATATGTAAACAAAAGTACAGATCCAAGTGGCGTTTCGGACGATGCCGTTCAGCTTGTCGAGACTCTGGTTGTTTATACTCTCAAAGACTTCAAACAGTTGCCTATATATGGATCAGACATTTTAACAAATTTTCGGAACACAGAAAGCTGGGTGTACAAACATTTGGCAGGAGAGAGCCATGCTGAAGATGGGAAGGCATTGGAGCACGCCCGCAGGTTCCCAGTAGAGCACCTTTTCCGTCCAGTCGTTAGCCGTAATGTGGGGCTGGGCCTCCAGCACGATCTTGAGAATTAAGCAGACATAGAAACCTATGGATGCCGTGCAAACGGCGGACAGACTGTCTACATTACGGAGCATGCCAAGGGGCACTATGCACACCACAGTGACCACGACCATGACCTGGTAGATTGAATTAGTTAGTTTCTGTTCTTTTGGTTAGAATGCCAGTTACTCACCAAACTCCGCAGATGCAAGTGATCCGCCACGTCTAGGGCAAAAATCTTGGCTATTATCTGTGGACCCAGATCGCCCACGACCACAAAATACGTGATGCACGTTCCAATCAGGTACCCAATGATGCACAGCTCCGCCAGCAGCTTGCCAGAGGTACCGAAAGCATGGAGACCGAGCATCTCGAAGCTCCTCCTACGTGTCAGTAGCGAGGTTTTAATAAGATAGTGACAGCAAACCCGTGTGATTCCATTGCTTAGCACAAGAAGAACGATGGATAGCAGGATGCCGCACTTTTGGAAGCAGAACGGCATGGCCAGGATGCCGACTCCTATGATGCTGTTGGCCAGCGTCATAACATGAGCGGAGTGGGCCAACATCTTGCCGGGAATTCACCGAACTTTCTCTTGTACTTGGAGTCTCGAAAATTGCGATTTGTATTCACGTGGGTGTTTTGCCGCGTGTGCAAAATCTTGGAAAGATGTGTCGTACTGATATCAAACTTTCTTCCTCAGCTTGATACGCCGTACACAGCAGCAGTACGGCGCAAAATACTTCTTACTCCAAATTGTAGCGCTATCGACGATCGCACTTGTGTAAGCAAAATTGTAAACAAAATAATCCGGCGGCGACGACGACGGCGGCGGCGGTGGAAAAGACGTTGGCGCTTACATTGAGTGGGCGGTTGTGGTTCAGCAAACATTTGTTCCAATTACGTGTACGTACACTGCGCTGACAGAGTGCTTGCGCATTTTTACGGCCGCAAGAAAGTTTTAAAGCGAATTGTTTGTGTCGTCACCATTCCGTCACCAATGTTTTACAGTGTGGCCGGCTTGCGGTAGTTGGATTAGGTCAACTACAGGAGCGGCTTCAAAGGGGATCTGTAGGCTGAAACGGATTTCCTTGGAACTTCAAAATGGTCACACTGATTTTTGGCTCTCCAATGCAATCCAACGGTCGCACTAATTTTGTCCTCGAAATCGAACACGAGCAAACGTGCTCGCGGACTGCTGTAAAATTGAATAAATCTAATAAATGTGCAAGATCGCAGAACAACGAGTACGGCACATCCTCCACGTCGCATTGGCATCATTTTCAAGCACGGATGCCCTGCAAAGATGGTGAAATCTTGTGATTAAAATTCTCCCCGTCTGAGGTACGAAAAAGTGAAAAAAAATGTCTGCCGCGCCGAGAATTGACAAAGCGACGCCGCCATGTCGCTGCCTATAGTCATCTCCCTCTGGCAGCCGGGCGCTAGCACCCCCAGTGTTCATATGTGTGTAGTGCTTATTTTAAGCGTTAAAATGTGGTGAAAATTTAAGAAACCATGCATATAGTGCATAAAATTGTACCCAGACTATCGGTTTTCCACATTTCCCTTGCGGAAGTTGAAAGAGCAAGTGTATGTGTGAGGAACGGAAAAAACCAAGACGCAGGGTTGCATTTTTCATGTTTTCAAGGGGTGCATTCTGTGTGATAAGCGTTTTTCTTTTATTTTGTCTGTAAGGCTGTGGATTTTTGTCCCGTCATGTTTGATAATGGATATTACGCATCGAAAAATTTCATGTGTTAAATTAATGTGGTTTTGCGGTTTGACCAGGGCTGCAGCATCGGCACGTGTGCAAGGCGGGCCACGTTTTTTTTCCCGCCAATCGGTGTCATTTCAAAATAATACTGGGAACTCACGCCCCCTGCTTTCTTGTTGTTGTTTTTTGCAGATGTCTCAAACATGAATGAAGGTAATTCAGCAGGAGGGGGGCATGAAGGGCTCAGCCCGGCCCCTCCTGCTGTGCCAGACCGCGTAACTCCACATTTAACGGAAACTTCAGTTGCCCCAGCCAAATCCAATAGCACAACAGTACCAGCAGGAGCAGGATCAGCAGGAGCAGCCTTGCCGGCCACCCGCCATCACCAACATATAGCGACCCAAGTCAAGGGAATCGCCAGCAGTAGCAAGCAACAGAAGCAACTGGCCAGTGCGCAGCTGCCTGTGCCGCTGTCGCCCTTGCCGCAACAACAACAGCAAACGGCAGAGGCAACGGCAGCAGCAGCAGCACCCGCCCACTCCAACGTATCCACCTCCGGTTCCCTTAGCACAATAGAAGGCTCTGCTTCGCCGCCGCAGGCCAAGCGTCAGCGTTTGGACAACAACGAGGATAGGACGAGCGCCTCTAGCATTGTTGGAACAGCCGAGAGCAGCAACATTGTAAGCTCCCTGCTACCAGCGTCGGTGGCCTCCAGCAGCGAGGTCGGGGGGCTTTCTTCCACGGCCCTGCAGGACTTGAATGCCCTCAAGAAGCGCATACTCCAGCAGAAATTGCAGATCTTGCGTAATCTTAAGGAAAGGTGAGTTAAAATGCATACTCTTTTGTCAGTAAATAACGCTAAATAACAAATTTTCTTATAAAAAGGCATCTTGAAAATGTGTCCGAATACTTTTACCTACAAAACGGCGGCAGTATGATGGACTACCCCGCGTGGCGCAAGAAGACACCAACCCCGCAGTTCATCAGCTACAGCAATGCGAATCGTATAGATCAGCTGATACACGAAGATAAGCCGAGCACATCAGCAGCAGCAGCAGCTGCGGCCCAGAATCAGAAATATACCACCCAACAGACAGACTCTGTGGAGTCGTCCTCACTGGTCAGTGGCATTAGTACTGGAGCGACTAAAGCAGCGCCATTGGATGGCAATATCAGCAATAGTACTGTTAAAACGGTAGGAACATTGTTTCGGAAGTAATACAAAATAACGCAACATTTATGATGTTCACATCATACTGAGTGCCTGAATCGATCTATTCTTGATTGATTTTGGCTATTATAAGGGATGTTCGCAGCTGCGAGGCATTTGTCTGAAAACACCAATATATTAATTTACTGTAAAGGTTCTTTGGTATTATACTAATTAAAATTTCGATGTTCCTTTTAGAATACGCAATCTCAAGTTCCAAGCAAGATTGGCAGCTTCACAGACTCGACTTCCGCAACAACAGACAACAACTCAAGTAGCACAGTTACAGCAGCAGCTACTAGTGGCGCCGCATCCAGCACATCTGCCACATCTGTCGAGGCTAGTGGTAATGTCCTGGCGGTGGAAGCGGAAATCAAAATCCCAGCAGTTGGAGCCACACCAGTGGCCATTTCCACAAAGCTACCTGCTGCTGTTGTCCAGCTAACGCAACAAGGTAAACTCATCTTGTTCCCAGTCGACCTCTTCGACCTCTCATTGTTATGAAGACTTTTGTGTTTCTGTTGTGTTCGTTTCGATCAAACAAAATTGTATTTTTTGTTGTTTAAAATTGTTATGTTCGTCCCCCCATATTTACGCCAAATTCAAATTGTAAAATCGATGCAAAATCTAGACCACTGCATACCAACTCCTGTAATTCCGAAACTGATACTAAAACAGCGCCAACTGCCAACGCACGTCCTGCACTAAAAACTTATAATGTTATACTGATATTATATTGTGGCCGCCAACTATTGTGCATTACTAATACATTATACAACAACAGCAAACTAAACTCGCAAAATGCAAAGATTATTTTGTTAGTTTACCATACACATACACTTACTAAAACACAAGCATAACTACATAACCAACTATCACGTACTGCTCTTTATTATTTACAAGTTAATTTTTCCGATTTCTGTTCCCACATTAATGCTGCCTACATTCTCCTATAACGCACACACTCAACTCACCATAATTGTATCGTTATAATATAGGTCACATACCCGGTAGACCTTTAGGAGGTCGTCACGGTATGGTCTTCGGTCAAATACCCGCTCCTCCTGCTGCCGTAGGAAATCCTTCTGTACCTTTGGTGCCAGGTGCTTATCGTTCGCAAACAACAAAAAAAAATATCAAAAATCTTTCACAGCTTAAATTCGTTTTGTTTTCATTTAAATTCTTACTTAAACCAGATTGTGTCTTTACCATTAAAGCATTTTATAATTTCTCAAGCAAAGTAGTGCATTGATTGATGTGCATAAAGATTATATTTTCAATTTGTAAATTGTTTTCTAGAATTGGTGTTTTTGCCCTTAGTTTGGATTGGTAAATCTGCTTATTAATTTGAGTTTGAATTGATAAATAATTGATGAATGTATCGTTTAATTGATTGCGTTGATTTGTAAGCAATTAGCAAACTTAAGCATACTTAGTAAACTAGAGATCGCGTCGAACTAAAGGACTTAGCACACCGGTTGGGTTCTCTTTTTCATCCCCTCTATTTGAAATCTATTTGAAATATCATTAGCTCTAGACTAGTTTTATGTCGCACCTAAAAGCGTTTTCTCGTCGGCTTGTTAAATGCTCTTGAAAATCGTAGATGTGTGCTAGAGGGATGCTCAGTTGCAAGTGATTCGGCCTTTCTTCGTGGCAGATATACATAACGCTGACTACAAGTGATCTCCCCGAACGCACCTAAAAGCGTTTTCTTGACAGCCTGTTAAGTGCTCTTGAAAATCGTAGATGTGTGCCAGAGCAATCGTCGCAGTTGCAAGTGATCTGGATCCATGACAGAATCAGGTCCATTTTAAGCTGGGCTCATTTATGTAATAATCATCTAATGTTATAATCGGCCGGAATAGGCAAGCGCACTCTGTGTCACATCGACATCCAGCCCCATGTGATGACAATTTGTAAGCTTGCTAGAATAAGGGGGTGCTTCGCTTATCCATGTGGCAACTATCTTCAGCCCAGGTGCCGCATTGAATTCGGGCCTCACATTAGGACTAAGTTTGCATGCAGTTCCCACCTGTTTCGTTTAGCAACCGATTCGCAAATGATTCTTATTCTATCTCTTCTATTTCATTCATTCACTATTGCTTTCCTAGTAGCTCTTTTGTACTTGATGCACTTTCCAGCATGCCAAGAGTTGACCTTTTACTGCCGTCTCTTAAGTAAATTATATCTTTCCTAATCTATCTTTTTGACTTCTTTTCCAAGGTGGCACCCCGTTGTTGCCCTGCAATACATCCTCCGGATCCACGGCGCTGCGCCGCCCTCAAGGTCAGAACAATGCCACAAGTGGAGGCGGCCTCACACCCACGCAGCTCTATTCGGGCAATGGTCCGGCAGCGCTGGGCGGCAGCGGAGGACTCACGCCTGGCACTCCAACTTCTGGTAGTCTGCTCAGCCCTGCTTTGGCCGGTGGCTCAGGAACGCCCAACAGTGCCGCGCAGGAGTTTTCTTTTAAGGCCAAGCAGGAGGTATACGTGATGCAGCGTATATCGGAACTACAGAGAGAGGGATTATGGACTGAGCGGCGCCTGCCCAAGCTGCAGGAGCCCAGCCGCCCAAAGGCGCATTGGGACTACCTCCTCGAGGAGATGGTTTGGCTGGCGGCTGATTTTGCACAGGAACGCAAGTGGAAGAAAAACGCGGCCAAGAAGTGTGCCAAGATGGTGCAGAAGTATTTCCAGGATAAGGCCACTGCTGCCCAGCGGGCGGAAAAGGCCCAAGAGCTGCAGCTAAAGCGTGTAGCTTCCTTCATTGCGCGCGAGGTGAAGAGCTTTTGGTCGAATGTTGAGAAGCTGGTCGAGTACAAGCACCAAACTAAGATCGAGGAAAAACGCAAGCAGGCTTTAGACCAACACCTTAGCTTTATTGTAGACCAGACAGAGAAGTTCTCACAGCAATTGGCCGAAGGAATGAACAAGAGTGTGGCGGATACGCCCAGTCTTAATTCTAGCCGTCTAACATCGCCGAAACGGGAGTCCGATGGTGAGTTATACCCTAACATATTATACCAGTCGACTTCCAGAACTGAGCACTTGATGATAAACTACAACCTGAAACGTTGTTGTGGTCTATTCTTGAACACGTCGATGTTACCATGGGATGGTCGCACTTGCGAGGCATTTGCCTGATGCTAATGCGCTCATGTTCAAATTTTACTCCCAGTTTCAAGCAATTGCTAATCGAAACACCTTCCACTTTACAGATGACTTCCGGCCTGAGTCTGGCTCCGAAGATGATGAGGAGACTATAGCCAAGGCCGAAGAAGATGCAGCCGATGTGAAAGAGGAGGTGACGGCACTAGCTAAAGAATCTGAGATGGACTTTGATGACTTTCTTAATGATCTACCACCTGGCTATCTGGAAAATCGTGATAAGCTTATGAAAGAGGAACAGAGCTCGGCGATAAAGACCGAAACGCCTGATGACAGCGATGATAGTGAGTTCGAGGCGAAGGAAGCCAGCGATGATGACGAAAATACAATCAGCAAGCAGGAGGAAGCCGAGCAGGAGATAGACCACAAAAAGGAGATCGACGAACTGGAAGCGGACAATGATCTTTCAGTGGAACAGTTGTTGGCGAAATACAAGTCGGAAAGACTCGGTGACCAGCCGCCTAGTCCTAAGCGACGAAAGCTAGCGCCTCGTGATCCTGAGCTGGACTCTGATGATGATTCGACTGCTGTCGATTCCACTGAGGAAAGTGAAGATGGGGCCACTGAGGATGAAGAAGATCTATCTACTGTTAAAACCGATACGGATATGGAGGAACAAGATGAACCAGAAGACGGTCTTAAGAGTCTTCTGGCGGACGCTGACACAACAGGTGGAGCTGCTGGCAGCGGAAGCACCGCTGGAGCAAGCGGGAACAAGGATGATATGCTGAACGACGCTGCCGCCTTGGCCGAGAGCCTCCAGCCCAAGGGTAATACCTTGTCCTCAACCAATGTGGTAACTCCAGTGCCCTTCCTGCTAAAGCACTCGTTGCGTGAGTACCAGCATATCGGACTCGATTGGCTGGTCACAATGAACGAGCGCAAGTTAAACGGCATCCTGGCCGACGAGATGGGTCTAGGCAAGACCATCCAAACCATTGCGCTATTGGCCCACCTTGCCTGCGCAAAGGGCAACTGGGGACCTCATCTTATTGTGGTGCCTTCGTCTGTGATGCTTAATTGGGAAATGGAGTTCAAGAAGTGGTGTCCCGGCTTTAAAATACTCACATACTACGGATCCCAGAAAGAGCGCAAGCTTAAACGCGTAGGCTGGACCAAGCCAAATGCGTTCCATGTGTGTATCACGTCCTATAAGCTGGTAGTGCAAGACCAACAGAGCTTCCGTCGCAAAAAGTGGAAGTACCTTATCCTGGATGAAGCGCAGAACATTAAGAACTTCAAATCCCAGCGCTGGCAGCTACTACTTAACTTTTCCACAGAGAGGTGAGTAGTATGGAATTATGATTGCATTTGCTAAGCCTGCCATCAATCAGCACCAAAAATCAGTAATCATGCGATTGCTAAACTAGCATGGCGACTACGCTTGGGTGCTAAAAGTAAATTCGCTATAATGCCGCATACTAAACCAGAGCATGCTAATCTAGCCCTAGAATGCTTGTGGCCTTGTTTCGAGACAAATAACAAAAATGCCGTAAATTCGAATGGATTTATAATGTACTCTTCCTAATTTTTTACAGACGACTGCTATTAACTGGAACCCCACTGCAGAACGATCTGATGGAGCTGTGGTCCCTTATGCACTTTCTTATGCCATATGTGTTCTCATCGCACCGCGAGTTTAAGGAATGGTTTTCGAACCCAATGACTGGCATGATTGAGGGCAATATGGAGTACAACGAGACTTTGATTACGCGTTTGCACAAGGTAAGAATAGCTTTAAGATCAACATGGTTTTGTTTTTAGATTGTCAGCACCTCAAAGCGTTTTCTTGCCAGCCTAATAAATGCTCTTGAAAATCGTAGTTGTGTGCAATAGCAATCTTTACAATAGCAAGTGATTCAGTTTCGTTATAACTTCGATCCGTTTACGTTGTGAACATTCTTTATAAGACTTACTATGCAAATGCACTCTGTGTCACATTGAAATTAACTACATGTGAAGACAATTTGTTAGTTTGCTATATTAAAGAGATGCGTCTTATCCACGCAATTACTTCCGTATCAGGATGATTGCGTTGAAATCGCATTTTACACTATTGAATGTCAAATATTTCCGTTGCACCTAAAAGCGTTTTCTTGCAAGCCCTTTAAATGCTCCTGAAAATCGTAGATGTGTGCGATAACAATCCACACAATAGCAAGTGATTTTTGTTCCTCTAACTCAAATCCATTTACATTGTGAACATATTTAAGAATTCTTAGGCAAATGCACTCTGTGTCACATTGAATTTGACTACATGTGAAAACAATTTGTTAGTTTGCAATATTAAAGAGATGCGTCTTATCCATGTATTTAATGCCGTGTCAGGATGATTACATTGAAATCGCATTTAACACTATTATAAATCAATTATTTTCATTGCACCTAAAAGCGTTTTCTTGCCAGCTCATTATGCTCTTGAAAATCGTAGATGTGTGCAAAATCAATCCTCACAATAGCAAGTGATTTTAGTTCCTTCAACTCTAATCCGTTTACATTGTGAATAGTCGATATATAAAAAAATGCTCATGTTTTGTTCATACATGGCAAATGCACTCTGTGTCACATTAAAACTAGCTTCGTGTGATGACAATTTGTTAGTTTGCCAGATCAAGGAGATGCGTCTTATCCATGTGGTCATGTTCTTCCAATTTGTTCACATTGAATACGCCCCTAACATGACCCTCCTATTTTAAGTTATCCGTTATTTCAAACTATATGCGCAGTAATTAGAATTTGCGTTTGTTTCTCCGTACAGGTGATTCGTCCGTTCTTACTTCGACGCCTCAAGAAGGAGGTTGAAAAACAGATGCCAAAGAAGTACGAACATGTGATAATGTGTCGCCTGTCAAATCGCCAGCGCTATCTATATGAGGACTTCATGAGCCGCGCCAAGTAAGTTTGAATTCAATGACTGTTGATGAATATAATACTGATAAAATTATGTTTTTAATACAGAACTCGTGAGACCCTGCAAACTGGCAACTTGTTGAGTGTAATTAATGTTCTGATGCAGTTGCGAAAGGTGTGCAATCATCCGAACATGTTTGAAGCGCGTCCTACGATCTCGCCATTTCAAATGGACGGAATTACATTCCACACTCCGCGACTCGTCTGCGATATAATGGAATATGATCCGTTCACGGTGAGTTTTATTTCTTCCTTATTTCCCCATTTAATTTTCCTGATTGTTGTTTGAAATTGATGATAAATTGTCACTGATAGTTGGACTTAATCTATTTTTGAGAGAGTCGTAAACTTTTCCAAGGATGTTCGCACTTGCGAGGCATTTGTCTGATTCGCTCAACCAATAAAATACCTTTTAGCCAATAATAGCCAATTCAAATTTTAGACTAATTTATATATATTCTTACAGCAAATAAATCTAGAGACGGTAAACCTCTTATTGTTGCATTTGGAGCAAACTATGACCGCCTACGTCTCGCACAAGTCCCGCCTGCTCGCCCCGCCTCGCAAGCTTATCGAGGATATCGATACGGCTCCATTACCAGCTCCCCGTTGTCCTAATGGCAAATACCGCTTTCATATCCGAGTACGTAGCGCGGAACTGGCGCAGCGCATCAAATTGAATGCAGTAAGGGTAGGAGCCAGTCCAGCCATGCGGTTGGAAGGCTCAAAGATCGTGCCTATGCGCAATTTGCTACCAAGTGGAAGAGTCCTGAAAAGGGTCAGTGCTTCGATTAACCCTGTGAATATGGCTTTGAAACCAGTGGTGATCAATACCGTGGTGACAACAACATCATCGACCGCAGCATCTTCTCCTACTGGGGCCCTAAGCGTACTGAGCAACTCCAAGTTGCTGGGGGCACGTTCACAGATAAATTCACCAACGCCCGCTAAAGTAGCAAAAACGATGCAAGACGGAAAGCCATTTTTCTACCTCACACCGGCGACGAATTCTGGAGCAGCAGGAGCCCGTCTTACTCTGACGAGTAAAACCACAGCGTCGGCGTCCACGACGACTTCCAGAACAACAGTTACTGCATCAACTACTTCTGCCCAGCAATTAATAAGGGAACCCATTGTCAAAGATTTGGCTACACATGTAAAAAGCACAGCACAAAAGCAAAGCATTGCCAATGGAAAGACAGATCCCGAGGAAGAAGCTGAAGCAGAGGATCCATACAAAGTGCAGGAGCTAATTCAGATGCGCAAGGAGCAGCGATTGGCAGCGCTTAAACGTATGGCAATGATAAATCGTCGCCGCACGGATGCCACACCCATATACGGCGAAGATTGCCGCGGTGCTATACAGCGCTGCATGCAGGCGACCCGGTCTCTCAAGAGGTCAACCTGGCAGACGCGTGGATACGCCAACTGCTGCACTGCCATGTCGAATAGGAATGGTTGGTCCCTAAACCATTTGCTGAAGAGCTTCGAGGAAAGATGCGCTGATCTAAAGCCATTGTTTGCAAACTTTGTGATCTACGTTCCTTCTGTATGTGCGCCCCGGATCCGTCGTTATGTACAGAATCTCTCATCGACGCACTGGCAGTACGAACGTGAGATAGAAAACACTGTGGATCAGGCCCTACGGCCTAAGCTGGGGTTGCTGCATCCAATCACATCGGCAATGACCACTCAGTTCCCAGATCCGCGTCTCATTCAATACGACTGTGGCAAGTTGCAGACCATGGATCGTTTGCTGCGTCAGCTAAAGGTCAACGGGCATCGTGTACTGATATTCACTCAAATGACCAAGATGTTGGATGTTTTGGAAGCTTTCCTTAACTACCATGGTCATATATATCTGCGTTTGGATGGCTCTACGCGCGTGGAACAGCGGCAGATCTTGATGGAGCGGTTCAATGGAGATAAACGAATTTTCTGCTTCATCCTCTCCACGCGGTCTGGTGGAGTGGGCATCAATTTGACGGGTGCCGATACTGTGATCTTTTACGACTCAGACTGGAACCCCACAATGGATGCGCAGGCCCAAGATCGATGCCATCGAATTGGACAAACCCGAGATGTGCACATCTACCGACTTGTCTCCGAAAGAACCATTGAGGTTAACATTCTCAAGAAGGCAAACCAAAAGCGAATGCTCAGCGACATGGCCATCGAGGGTGGCAACTTCACAACTACATACTTCAAGAGTTCCACCATCAAGGATCTCTTTACAATGGAGCAGAGCGAGCAGGACGAGTCAAGCCAGGAGAAGTCAGAGGACAAGGATAAAATTGTCGCTACGACAACGCTTTCGGATACGCCGTCGACGGTTGTGGAGACGGAGAAGCAGTCACTGCGTGCCTTTGAACATGCGTTGGCTGCCGCCGAGGACGAGCAGGATGTGCAGGCCACGAAAACAGCTAAAGCCGAGGTGGCAGCTGATCTGGCCGAGTTCGACGAGAACATTCCTATTGCAACAGAAGATCCAAATGCGGAAGGAGGCGCACAAGTGGAACTAAGCAAGGCCGATCTGGAAATGCAGAACTTGGTTAAACAGGTGAGTTAGGAATCAGCAAGGGATTCAGATATAACTATGTGATTTAGGCTAAAATATTCGTTTAAGTATAACATTTTTTACCAACAATTTAAATGTCAGTTCAGAAATAGTTGCCGTCCTTGCATTTTATACTGAAACCTTGCAGTTTAAAGCTATTCCGGTCAAGCTAGTTCGGCACAGAAAAATATCTTCCTTTGGAAAGTAGACCTTCAGACATAGTCGAGGTGACCTAATCCACGCCACGATTGTATCACTCAAAGTCTAATATCTGAATATATTATACTATTTTTTTTGACAACGTAGAAATAGTTTTAATTGCGGCATCACTTGCAACTTAATGAATTCGTATTTCTAATCGAATACAACAAAGTAAGTGTTGCCAAGAGTAATACACCTCTACGGATTAGACCTTCAGACATAGTTGAGGCGACATAACCCACGCCACGATTGTATCACTCAAAGTCTTACAATTTCTAAGTTAGAGTATTACTTTAGAATTTACTTGTATCGAACATGTACATATTTTTTTTATTTCTATTTAGCTCTCACCTATAGAGCGCTATGCCATGCGCTTTGTGGAAGAAACTGGAGCGGCATGGACGGCGGAACAATTGCGAGCCGCGGAAGCGGAACTGGAGGCCCAGAAACGCGAGTGGGAGGCCAATCGGTTGGCGGCTATGCACAAGGAGGAGGAGCTGTTAAAGCAGGAAACGGAAGCGGAGGAGATGCTTACCTACAGTCGCAAGGATTCGAGTAATCAGGTTAATACCAAAAAAGATTCCACTTCCAATAAGCGACCACTGGTGAGGGTAAATCGGAGAAACTCAGCTCAGAAGCTGAGCAGGAGTGTTAGCAGCCATAGCAACGGTAGCAACAACAAAACCAGTAAATCGGCAACGACTCGAGGAAGTAGCCAGAACAGCCTCAATCAGAGTGTACCAATGGGGTCAGGAATAAGCACAGGAAGAAGAACGGGGATGGGGGTCAGTAGCAGTAGCCGGGGCAAAAGTAACAGCACTAGGTCAACAACGATCGGCAAGGGAACAGTCGCCGCTACGCAAGTTCGGCGGCACACCCGTCTCCACTCGCTGGGCGCCGTCAATATGGCCAGTGTCCCAACACCGCCCACTAGAAAGACAACACGCACAGCTTTGGCTGCATCTGCAGCCGCATCTACGTTAGAGGATTCCTCTTTGATCGTCGAGGAGCGTCCAAAAAGACAGTCAGCCAACATTGCTATGAGCAAGATGTTAAAAACGCCCCTCAAACACAATGTTGCATCCAACAACAGTATAAAGACAACTGCTCCGAAACGGGGGCGAAGAGACAGTGTTGCAGGGGCCGCCACGCGCAGGAAACTGCTGGAAAGGAGAGCTACAATTGCAGCTCCTTTAAAACATATGGATGATGACGATGGCAGTGATCAAGATGAAGAGGAGGAGGAAGAGCAGGAGTCTGAAGAAGATACCGAGGGCGAGGACGCGAATGCCACAGTAGACGACGACGAGGAGGAGGTGGACACAGCTGGCTCGGCACTTGACGAAGAGACCATACAAACTGGATCGCAATCAAATGACGAAGACGATAACGAGGAAGAAGTTGGTGAAGAGGAGATGGTTGATGTCGATACTGAAGATTCAGATGCAGATGTCAAGTCCAGCTCCACCTATGGTACAGCGGCAGATGGCACGGCAGAAGGAGAAGCCGAAAGCTTGGATGGCTGGGATGCACACGATCAGGTGCAGGACACCACAATGACTAGCTCCACATATTATAATGTCAGTGAGGAATCTGACACGGATGAGCATCACGATGTCAAGGCAGAGCCTCCGCAGAATTCCGATAAAAGTGACGAAAGCGAGGCTGTCGGTCACACGCCACGTACAAGGTCGCGCGGCTCAGTAAAGATCAATCTGTGGACCCTGGACATGAGTCCTGTAGCAAACGCATTGAACAAGAGCAGCGCCAATAGAAGTCTCAAAAAGACACCCAGGACTGAGTCCACGCCAAAGGAGTCTCAAAGCGAGCCCAGGCGAAAGCTTACACAGCCAAAGCTGCCGAAGAAAGAAGAAACTAATAACAAATCTAACAGCAATATTGGTACCTTACACCGCTGGATTTCGAAGACCCCCAGAGTGATGCTTCGATCCACTCCTGGTACGGCAGCGAGCACTAGCTCATCAACAGCAGTCAGTGGTGTTTCAGGAGGAAATGTCTCCTCGAGCGGAACATCCAGGTGATGATGTTCACTATCATACCTCAGTCAGTATTATCAGCTGTGTGTGCTGTGTGCGTTTTAGTGGGTGACTAATTATCTGTGGGGAGACGGGTCCTTCCTCGGCTGTTACTGCTGCCAGGCGACTGCCGCCGACTGATGCAAACGAGTATTTATAGACTGTAACAAGTTTCCTTCTATCATCGTATGAGATAAGTTAGTTAGGCAGCGAAACCCACGCAAGAATCTAGGATAACAAATTGAACTTCATTTGGATAAACATCTTGACCTCTAACATCTTGACTAAATGTGTTATTTGCCATTCGTCCGTGCAACCAATGGCTTCCTTTTGTACCCTCTTATATTTTGAAACGGAAGGAATCTGACGTCTTTATTATCTATAGAGGTAAAATAAGCCAGCAAAGTGGTAGTAAAGAATTTCATTCCTGCTAATTCGTAACATTAATAACTTAATTTGACCCCGAGACAAGTCGAGTGTGTCCCTAGTCCTACCTCAAAAGTCTTTGATGTTATTACTATTCCCGGTAATTTTGCTGGTCTTGTTTTGAGCCCCGGTTTTCGTGAATGTGTCAAGCGGGGTTCGAAAAAGAAGAGGAGAATTACGAGAATAACGAAAGTAAAGATAGCATCATCGCTTTGGAAAAGATGAGGATGAACATTTTTCATTATGGCGTCTTATAACCATAGTAAACTGGGTCTCAACATTCTTAATTACTTCTCAATCACGTTGGGTACCAGGGATCAAAAATGGGCAACTTGTGACACGCTGCACAAGTGGTGGAGCCATTATAAATCAAAGTTGAAAAGTGAAATGAAGCGGGAAAGTAAACAGGAAGTCAAATAGAATGGCACGATTGTATAATGCGTTTAGCAAATTGTACTCAAAACTACCACATCCTCGATTGTTGTTGTTAAATAATGTTTGTCAAAAAACCAATCGAGACCACAGAACAAACACTTCTCCAAAAAAACTGAATTAGATCGTAACACTAGGTATACTATGATAATTGTTAAACATTTTTGCATTCTATAATTTATTTTGTACTTTAATTTAAACGAATCATTAACAATCTAAAGACTATGAGCATAGATTGACTAACCAATAAGACACAGAACTCATTTCGTATGCTTTAAAAAGTATCAAAATCCATTGATTGTGTAACAAGATAAAACGAAATCTATAAAAACAGAAAGAAAGCTAAAAATTAAACAAAACTCAAAGACGTTGTGGTTTTTATTTACGGACTAATTTCGTGCGTTGCCCCAAAGAAAAAAATGTTCCATCCTCATAAAAACAAGTTGGAAAAGAATATTTGGAGATCATCCAAAGATTGTTAAATATTATTTTCTGTAAACAAATGTAGAATTCTGTTTTGGTGTCGCAATTAGTATCCAATTAATCCTTTATGACTACAAAATTATTTTTTAACCCCCTAAGCGCCGTACGAAAGTTTAAAAATGGTTCGGAATGAAAGCTACAACGCCATCAGTATGATAATATTAAAGTCAGTTCATATCGAAAGCTATACGTTAAATCGAAAAAATAGTTTCTAAGCCAACACCAAAACAGAGTTGCTATATCATGAAAATAATGTGGAACCGTCTATTCTTTTCTTTAACTTTCTTGGATACCATCTGGTCCAGGTCTGGATATCGCGAAACACCATGGAGCAGATGCCGGTAAGTTCAAGTGTTAGTGCGGTATAACCTGCTTCATAGTGCTAATTATTTGTGATCCCTTGATTAGATGTGGTGTCCTCCCACTCCGCCGCAAGACAACGATAACGATATCTATATCGACTATTCGCTGTCGTTCATGTATGAGCTGGAACCCATTGCGGAGATGGATCTGCCGCCAGTTTACGTACGCAAGGAGCACAAGCGCTCGCGCACGGATGCTGGATACGATGGTAGCAGACGGCCTAATAAAATGCGCCGGGAGGATAACTACGTGCCTCCCAGATCGCTTTTCGATCGCCCAACGCCGCAGCTGGCGAGACTACGTCGGGAGCTGAAGAGCCAGCGATTCCGAGGAAGTTTTAAGCCAAATATGCCGATTCCAGGCCTGAAACCACAACTTCCAACAAAACCTCTTACCGAACCGGAGGCCATGGCTGAGTGGTGTGTCTTCGAGGATATGGCCATTCTGCACGTCCTGGTAAATCTACAAGGATTACCTTGCAGCCTGATGCTGCTCTCACCCGGCCAAACGCCCAACTGGGACCTCGTTTCAGAAATGGTCAACTTCTGCTCGAAGACCTACCGTTCGGCGAGGCAGTGCCGATGGAGGTACGAAACGCACATTCAGCCGCGTGAGGAAGGCAAGGTAGTGGAGAGTCCCAAGAAGCAGAAGAAGCTTAAGCCCACTCTGCGCACTGAGTACCTGAAGAGTCCGCTGCGATATTTGCGAACTACCCAGCTGTATGTAAGCGATAACAACGCCTCGTTTTACAAGACGATGCGATCCCGCTTCGACAGCATTAAGACTGCTTATCTAAAGAAGGCACCGCCGCCGAAACGCCAGTTTAGTGCGCCGAGTCTGATGAATCCCAAGCATATGGAAGTGCTGCAGGAGTTTGGCATCCAAAATTACGATCAACCGGTGCCGCCGCAGAACATTGCGGCTATGAAGGCAAATAAGATTCGGGAGAAGCAGCGGGGGCAGCAAATGTCCCAGCCTCCTGTTGGCGTGGGAGTGGTTCAGCAAGTGCAGCAGCAGTCTCAGCAGCAGCAGCCTGCACCACCTCCGCCGCCACAGCAACAGCAGCCGCAACAAGTGGTCCAGCAGGTCCAACAGCAGCAACAGCAGCAGCAGCAACAGCAACAGCAGGTTGTGCAGCAACAACTTCCCACTGTTTCAACCGTTCAGCAGACTCTCCCCGTCCAGCAAACTGTGGAACTCGTGCAGCAGCAACCCAGTACCACGACAACAGTGGCGGTGCCCGCTACTGGTGGTCAGTTGCAGCAGCTGCAGATCCAGCACTTGACCAGTTCCAATGTCTCGCCCGGTCAACAGACTGCCATCCTGCTCCACCAACCGCAACAGCAATTGCGTACGCACCCTGGCCAGGGTGGACAATCTAATACTCAACAGTTGGTCAAAACTATTGTTGGCGCCTCTTCCAGCTTAACTGCGGGCCAATTGCAACAATTGGCCCAACAGTCTGCAGCCGCGTCTGGGGGCCAGTCCAGTGTGAGTGTGGTCCTTACCACTCCAGTACAGACACTTCCGGCAGTGGTGCAACCCCAGATAGGCTCTGGTGCCCAGATCGTGTCCATCTCGTCACAGACATTACCCGTTAACAGCTCTCCCCAATTGGGCAGCATTGTGCAGACCCAATCGCTGCCGCAGGTGGTTTCGGTAAGCACTTTACCCACCGTGGGCACCGTACTGACCACCACTGCCAATCAGCAACAACAGCAGCATCAGACCACGGCTGTAACCACTCTAAACACAGCCATGTTGCGTGGTCAGCGGATTGTGTCAACAGCTGCAGGAAACACCCTTCAACAGCGAACGACTGCCGGTGGTCAGTCTATTGTATCTATGCCGAACTTGGGCCAAGGAGTAAGTCCCGCGCAATTCCAGACGCAGCTTCGTTTGGCAGCTGTTCCTACATCTCCAGCGACTCAGACCACACAGCTGGTGACCACAAAGGGAATTCCGGTAAGCGCATTACAGCAGGGAGGGAAAACGACAGTGATTCCTGGAACTCAGCAATCTGGAGGAGCACACATACAGCTCTACCGCCAGCGCAGCTTGAAGGTGCTGCAAACAACAACACAAGCGGTGCCCAGCGGATCAGCTGGCGGTACTGGACCTACTGCTAATCTGGTGCAAGCTGGCGGCACCATAATCCAAGCTAGCAGCATGGGCACGCATGTGACAAGCCAAAAAGTGGCCGTTTCGGGAATGCCGGGTACCTCCACTACTGTGCAGGCGGGCAACGTGGTAAGCAGCGTGCAAATGCACGGACAGGCCCGGACGCAGTTCATCAAGCAGATGGCGGCCGGCAAGCAGCAGCTGCAGCGCCAAGTGGTGTCCGCTGACGGAACAACCACCACTACCGGAGCTGGGGATATGTTACTGGTTAAGCGTCATAATATTCTTGCCGCTCAAAAGGCGCAGCAGGCTTCTGGAGCACTCTTTACCACTACCACAGGGCAGCAGCAACAACAGCAGCAGCAAGGTCAACTCCCAGTGGCCGGGCAACCGCAGCAGGTTACTCAGCACCAGATCGCGTCTTTGGTAAAAGCTTCCTCGGCAGCGGCGGCAAGCGGAAGTAGTGTTAGTGCAGGCGGAGTCACCGTATCGGCTACTAATCCCACTGTTCAGGCGGGAAGCGTTAATATGACACTTCCCCAGCTCAAGCCTGGCAGCCAGATCAAGGTTACCATGCCAAATCAGATGCGCCATTTGCAAATGCAACAGCAGCTGACGATGCCGCGTAAGATTAGCCGGATGACACAGCTGGTCAGCGCCAGTGGTCAGCCGACGGCCACTAATATAGTAACGACAACTGGTCCCCAGCAACAGCAGCAGGGAGTCACAGTGTCTGGCGGCGGTACTTTGCCCACAGTTGCATCGCAGCAGCAACAGCAGCAGCATCAGCAGAAGGTTGGAGGTGGAAACAGTGTCCAGGCACAATTGCTGCACATTCAAAACACAAAGGCACTGCCGAATTCGGTCACCGTGCAGCAGATTCAACAAGTGATGCGAAGTGGCCAGCAGGGTACGTTAGCCACCACCAATCTGGTGTTGGGTAAAACGAGCGTGGGACGGGTGATTCCCGTGTCGGTGGCTTCACAGGCCAACCAGCGTCAAACCATTCAGGTGGGTTAAATGTATTAGTGATCCATAGGCTAAATCAACTAATACGAACTTCTTTATCTTTAGGTTGTTTCAGCTGCCTCAGCTCAAGCTTTGGCTGCGGGAAATCTGCGCACTCATGTGGCTGGGCCGAGCATTGCCAGTGCTTTAAAGGTGGCCGCATCTGGGGGAGCAGGTGGCCAGACTACGCAGCAGACGCTGATAGCTGCACTGCAGCATAATCAGCGACAAAACGCCAGTCCTGTTCGGCTGCAGACGACGGTAGGAGGCAATCTTCTTGCCGTTGTGCAGCAGCAACAGCAGCAGCAGCACACAAGTATTTCAGGACCAACTGCTGGACCGGCGGAGGTGATGACCATCACTCAGACTACCACCACGTTGCCCACGGTAGGCAGTTTGCAGCAGCAACAGCAGCAGCAACAACAGGGCGGCATATCGCAGCCCACAACGCAACAGGTACGCAAGCTGGTGCAGAAAAAGATACTGATACGCAGCGAGAAAGAATAACGCTCGAGTAAAGCTGCCAGATCACGTCAGCGGCGGAGCATTACGAGCATCACCTCAACCTCCACCGCCACCGCAACCGCCACTTACAACACACCAACTCAGAATCAAACCCCACAACCACCTCAAAATCAAACACCTTCAACTCAGTCAAAAGCCAATCAATCTGATCCTTTCGAATATCAAGATCGAACGAAACTCAAAAGCTCATCCCACGCCGATCCTCATGCATTCAATCAGTCAGTCAGTCAATCAGCCAGTCATTGCTAAATTGATCTCAATTTCTGTCGATTGGTTTTGCAGCCATGAGCGATCTAACTGCTCTGGAGGATGGTGAGCTCAAGGTGAAACGCTGAAGGTTACCACGATGATCGCTTCAATCAGTTCAAGGCGTGGAAAAGCCGTATTACTAATCTTACTGAACCGTAGATGTAGCCCCTTAGCTTAAGTGAAAATTAATTGTAATCTATTCATATTACGATAAAAGTTTTATGGAAATGAAGAGTGCCTAGTGTGTAGGCTTTAGTGTGCTTTAAATTAAACGTGTAAATCGAAGTTAACTAAGATATCAGCCCCCCTATTTCCATAGAGCAGTATGTACATTAGTAAACCTAATTCAGATATATCAGATACTACATAAATATCCATAAATATGTAGCTATAACTATATGTCCTTCCTAGTTGTATGATCGAAAGCAAATAAAGAAAATAATTTTAAAAATAGGTTAAACGTGTGGATAAGTGAATACCCTCACTGCATATACATACATATGTAGATATTAAAGTGATCACCAAGGCAACGTCTTTCGTTTTGACCACAACAACGTGAACCAACTCAGAAATGGAGTCGAGTGGTTCCGGCAATCAGTTGCACTATGTCGCTGTTCAATGTCTGCAGCTGGTGGTCTGCCCAGTGTTCCGATCCTGGGGAGGAATACGATGTGGCTAGCTTGCTGTGCGCTCGCTTTGGCCTGGAGTCTCAAGAAAAGGACTACATTATTGTGGGTTCCCAGACGGGTCAGCTGAGTATATACTATCCACACGGCAGAGGTTACGATGCTACCGACCTACTTTTGGAAACCCAAATGGATGCTCCCATCATTGGTCTATATGCTGGCAAGTTTAGTGGGTAAGTTTATCAGAATTTGATGCCTAGTGCTTCCACGACAACTGCACCTCATCCGCAGAAATGCTCGCAATGAGAACGCCAATCAATTGGGAGTGCTCCTGCCGAACGCCATTGTTATTTACAATGTTGTGGCCATCGGAGGATTGGCGGAACATGGAGCTCAGTTGCGTCTGCAGGTGCAGGTGGAGCACAAGTTCCAGCGCGTCTCGTTTGGACTGTGCCAAGGTCATTTTGGGCAGGTGAAGGGACGGGAGTTTTTCTGCGTGGTGCATCTGGATGGCACGCTTACCTTCTTTGAGCAGGATGGCATATCCTACGAGTGCCGATTCCCAGGTCACCGGGCTCTTCCCGCTCCGGTGGCCTATTGCGAGAGAACCGATAGCTTCTTTCGGTTTAGTGCCACGTGGGACCTACAATGCTTTAGCTATCAGGATCTGTCCCACTCGCTGGTCACCAAGAGCAGCTATCAGCCCACCTGGTCGCAGGGCGTCGGCGAGGGCATTGTCGATATGCGGGTGGTGCAAGTGAAGGAGTAAGTATCGGATTTTGAATAGCTCTCCTTCACTTCCATTCAATGTTTTGTTCAACCTAGAAACTGTTCGTACATCATGATTTTGGGCGAACGAAACTTCATCTCATTGGACGACAATGGCAAGTTCAACTTCATGCTCAAGCTGGACTACGCTCCAAAATGTTTTACCAGTTTTGTGGTTGGCTACTACTGGGGTGAGAATCTTGTCCTATTCTATCCATAATATTATCTTCAACTGGGAGTACATTATTAGAGCCTGGGGCCCGTCTAATCAGCGCCATCATTTCGGACTCCTCGAAGTTGCATCTGTACGAAGAGGCCAATATCATTTGGGCAGCACAGTGGCCAAAACAATCAACCGCTCCGGTGGCCATACAGCGCTCGAATATTCAAAATCTTGCTGGTGGAATCGTTACATTAGGCGCGAGGGGTCAGCTCGAGGTGGGCTACCTTGGCGCTGATCCCGTTCAGTTCCAGGTGCAGCCCCTAAATGTGGAGGAACTGAGTTTCGCACAGGCCCACAAGGAGCTTCAAAAGCTGGAGGACGAGATCAAGGAAGCAGTGGATGTGCGGGACATGGATGCGCTTAACCAACAGGCAGCGGATCAAGTGCGACTAAGTTTCACCATCGAGCATGAAGCTAACGATGACCTGGACACTCTCCTCATGGACGTGCCAGCTGATGTGGCTGTCAAGGAATTGCCTTCGGCCAAGGGCTTGCTGCGCTGCAAGATCAAGGCAGAGCTGGCTGAGTTGCAGCTGGTGTTTCAGACTCCAAATGGAGTCCGTTGCAGTCAGGATACAATGAGCTTTGTTAATGTACCTGCAGGCACAAGTAAGGAATTTAAACTGGACTTTTACACTGCGGAGTTGCTACACATTCATAGCACCAAGGTGGAAGTGGTGGCATCATTCATAAGTACCAGGGTGAGGGAAAGGAATTGGTATAAATGTAGAGTACATAACAGATGTTGAATTCATTTTAGGGCATTCCGCGGGTCATTCAGCAAAGCGCCAACCTTCCTCTGTCCATGTTCTATCGCACTTGTCAGCCGCAAAAGGCGGCTGGAATCAAGCTGACCTACAGCATCACCAGTCGACATGTGAGCCCCAAGCTGGCCACCTTTTTCGGGGAGTTCCTGGAGGAGCAGAGCGATACCCATGCTCTGGGACTCCAACTACTCTGTCCAGGACTGGAGAAGCAGAGTGAAGTGATCACCGTAGTGGCAGCCAAAAACTCGAATCGCTTTCGCATACAGTCCGACTATGTGGAGGCCTTTGCCATGATCCTGGAGCGGATTGTGGAGAGAACTCTCCAGCTGGACAACTCAGCGGGACTGATCAAAATGGACAAGAAGAAGCCGAAGCGCGGAATTCTCAACCGCTGCGTCGAACGCCTTATGGCGGCTCCTTTTCTACCCGCCCAGCCAATCCTCCATCGAATCGACGTCCACCATGACACCCAGCTGAGTATTAGGAAGCAAACGGTGGGTTCGTCCTTTAATTTGTACTTTGCCTGCAATTTCCCTTTGCTTCATTCACAGGACCAGCTGGAGGACCTATGGCAGCAATTTAAGACTCTTCAGCGTCAATTGCAGGAGCAATCGGAGAGTGAGCCCAAGGAGGCTCTCACCATGCAAATCGAGTCCAACTACGACCAGCTTATCCTGGAGGGCGATAAACTAGTGGAGATTCGGAGGGATGAACGCAAGTAGGGGTCGCAGGGCGCTAGACAATTTCACCTATGTGGATATTTGTATACCCGTTACTCGTAGAGTAAGAGGGCATACTAGATTACTTGAAAAGTATGTAACAGGCAGAAGTAAACGTTTTGGTTTACTCATTCTTGATCGGGTATCTAATAGTCGGGGAACTCGGCTATAGCATTCTATCTAGTTATTTTTACCATGCCACCTCCACGGTAACACACTTAAATAATTGTAATGCCAATACCTAGTATTTGCTAATGGATGGAAGAGTATATCCATTTTATGGTTAAATTAAATATTAGTTAACTAGTAAATTAAATTAATTAAAAAAAAGTGTGGCCATGGATAATTGCAATTTTTAGGTTGGAATGTGGGTAGATGAAAAAACTTATATTTTAATTTGCATATTCCCCGTCATTAGTTGTACACGGTATCCTAGGGACCCAGCACTGATGTAAATCTGTCTAATCATTTTTATCGATTTCAGACAGCGCTGCGACCTGAACTGCGCCGTGGCTTTAGCCAAATGGATTATTCATGCTTTGAATTTGGAGGAACGTGTGGTCAATGTGGTAAGCTCAGTGCTGAGTGTGCCCATCGAGGACTGGACAGAACTGGCAAGTGGTTCAGAAGTTAAATGTGCAAATTTATAATTATATTGAAGATAAATTTAATAGAGTTGGGAGGAGTCGATGGCGCCCGGCATTGATATGCTGCATCATTTTGGGCCGCTCACCCGCTCAAAATCTTCATCCACACATGGATTACTGGATGCCAACGCTGGAACCAAGGATAGTTTTGATTACAGCCGTTTTAGACGACACTTTTCCACACTTTTCGAAAGGATTGTGAGATTAGCCTCCTCCCCCATGGCACTTAACCCCGAAACAGGCAAGGAGGAACCTTCCACGGAGGAGAAACAACCGCCCACACAGCAGGTGGATGAAATCGGCAATATGCAGCGTATGCTGGGCGAGAAGGGCTTGCCACTGGTTCCACCGAAGCGGAAGAGCAACATGAGCAGCTCCCTGGAGGCCGTGGAAGACGATGAGGAGTACGACGAGGAGGATCTTCGCGAGGATGTGGGCTACCGCAAGGAGTATGGGGCAACCGATCCGAAGAACCCAAGCAACAAGAAGCGATCCGAGTGGGTGAACGAGGACTTTGAGCTGCCCACCACCGAGGAGCTATTCAGCGACCTGGGCATCTGGTGGTAGGCTTAGAGGCACTGGGATTGGGGGATTCTTGTCGCAATAAACGTGCAAACTGTCAAAACAGAGATCTTTATTGGCTCGCTCTCAACTTGACAGGATGACAGCGCGACAGCTGCTGGACCCGAGATCTGAGATTCTGGCGGCGATAAAGCTTCGTAATCGGAATTTGCATAACCAGCAACGACAGCCAGCCATCCAGATCCATATCCACATCCAGGGTCTGTGGGAGTGCGGAGATTTGTGTGGACAGGACGGACAGGACGGACTTGCGTATGATGCATTGTCGCAGATAAAGCAAGACGAAAGTCAGCGCAGAGGCTTCACTGTACAAAAGTCGACAGTGGGCTGAGCACGAATGAAGCTGTGCACTGAAACAAATAGAGCAGTAATATTTCCTAGCTCAATCTTGAATTCCTAATGCCAAAGTGCTACTACACCATAATCCTTACCTTTTTGTAATTTGTTCTTATTCTTTGCGAACATTTGGTTATTGAAGTGAGCATTAGGTGACTTGATTGTGAGCTTTCTACTCTAACTCCATTTTTCCGTGTGCAACTCCAGCTGGGACAACTGCGGTGATCCCTTGCTTGCTCCACGTGAAATCCCACACATGGCGCGCTGAGTTATAGGAGTCACTGTCTGATCTAGGCTACAGCTCCAGTTGCTGGACCGTAAATTGGCCACAATAGACGGCTGGAATGTCAGGTCCCTCCTTTAGGACTGGTCGCGTGTTTGTTGCCAAGATTGGAACTGAAGCTGACTCCGTCGTCGGGTGCATTGAGCACATTGTTTGTGCGATTCGTTCGTTTTTTGGGGGAAGAGGGGGATGCAGCTGGCTCATTGATGAATTAACTGATTTTTAATGTGATCTCGAGCGATTAACAATTAATTTGCGATTCGATGATGGGACTTCATCGCTTCGGAAATAATGAGTGCAGGATAGGTCAGTCACATGTGGTAAGGCGTGAAAAAACCCGATTGCACCTTGGGATGAAAGCGATCGTTTTCAAAGCGATTCCAGTGCATTCTCATAACTCATAAAATACATGCAATAAATATCTTATGAATATCTTACAGAATGTGACCTCGATCCTTTTAAGCCGAATTTTAAATTGCGTATACGCGTGGCTGTCAAGTTTT